CAGTAACTGGGGCACCTCGGTGGCTTAGTTATTTAAGTCCGACTCTTGATCTCAGCTGAGGTCTTGATCTCAGGGTCCTGAGAGTTCAAGCCCCACGTGGGGCTCCATGCTGGGCACGGAACCTACTTAAAATAAAACTCAGTAGCTCAAGCAGGTGAAGTTTAAGAGTAACTTTTAATAATTTCTGCTGATGCATTAAGAGCTTCAAATTTTAATTCCCCATAGCTTTAATTCATCTATATCCTCAATTGTTTTGTTTTCATTTTAATACTGGATCAGGAAAACCTGATACAGGCACAAAGTACCCCAATGCAGAGATGACTGCTATTAGAATTTCTTGGTAACTATACTACCGGTATACAACTTTTCACAAATGAACCCATACACGTCATTTGACATTCTGATTCTGCCTGCACCCCCGAAAGTGTACCCTGCAAATTTTAAAGTTATTAAAAGGCTGCATGTCAGCCAGTGAATCAGTTCACTCCTGGCTAATCCACTTTTCATTACAGGCATACCTCAGAGACATTTCAAGTTTGGTACCAGACCAGCACAATAAAGAGAACATTGCAATAAACAGTCAAAGAGATTTTTTGGTTTTCCAGTGCATATAAAAGTTATGTCTACACTATACTTTAGTCTATTAAGTGTGCCATAGTACTTCTATAAAGTGTGCCTACCTTAATTTAAAAAACACTTTATTGCTAAACAATGCTAACCATCACCTGAGCTTTCAGTGAGTCCTAATCTTTTTGCTAGTGGAGGGTCTTACCTCAATGTGGATGGCTGCTGACTGATCAAGGTGGTGGATGCAGAAGGCTGGGGTGGCTGTGCCAATTTCTTAAAGACAACAATGAAGTTTTCCCCCATCAACTGACTCATCTTTTCACTAACAATTTTGCTATAGCATATAATGCTGTTTACAGCATTTTACCCACAGAACTTCAAAACTGGGAGTTAATCCTCTCAGTTAACCCTGACACTGCTTTAACAACTCAGTCTATGTAATATCCTATCATGTTGTCATTTCAACAATCTCCACAGCGTCTTCACCAGTAGATTCCATTTCAAGAAACCACTTTCTTTGCTCATCCATAAGCAATTCCTCATCTGTTAAAGTCTTATCGTAAGATTGCAGCACTTCTCCACTTCTCATTCTAGATCTCTTGCTATTCCTACCTCATCTGCAGTTACTTCCCCCACTGAAGTTTTAAACCCCTCAAAATCATCCATGGGGGCTAGAATCAACTTAACTCCTGTTCACCTTGATAGTTTGACATCGTCCCATGAATCGCTTCTAATAATATCAGGCAGTTTCATCTACAATGAAAATCTATTATGTAGTGTAGCCACCTTCATTAATTATCTTAGCTAATTCTTCTCAAGAACTTGCTGCAGCTTCCACATCAACACCTGCTGATTCACCTTGCACTTTTATTTTACGGAGGCAGCTTCTTCCCTTAAAACCTCATGAAAGAACGTCTGCTAGCTTCAAACTCTACTGCCGCAGCTGCTTCATATCTGTCAGCCTTCAAAGAACTGAAGAGTGAGGGCCTTGCTCTGGGTTAGGCTTTGGTTTAATGGAATGTTGTGGCTTGTTCAATCCTCAAACTACTCAAACTTTCTCCATATCCACAATAAAGCTGCTTTGCTTTCTTATAACTCGTGTGTTCATTCGAGTAGCACTTTTAATTTCAAAAACTTTTCCTTTGCGCTCAGAACTTAGCTAACTGGCCCAAGAGGCCTACCTTTGGTCCATTCCAGCTCTCAATATTCCCTCCTCATTAAGCTTACTTCTAGCTTTTGATGTGAAGAAGAGACATGGGACCCCTCCTTTCACTTAACAGGTAAAAGCCATTATAAGGTTAAATAACTGGCCTAATTTCACTATTGTTGTGTCTCAGGGAATAGGGAGATGGGGTACAGCCATTGGTGGAGGAGTCAGAAAACACAAAACATTTATTGAACATTAAGTTCACGGTCTTATATGGATGGGCATGAGACCCGATATAAGTATAACAATAACAAAGATCACTGATCATAGATTACCATTAACAAATATAATAATGGAAAAGTTTGAAATATTTTGAGAATTATCAAAATGTGACAGAGACAAAGTGAGCAAATACTGTTGGAAAAATGGCACCAATAAACTTGCTCCGTGTTAAGATTGCCACAAACCTATAATTTGCAAAAAATATCTGCAAAGCATCCTAAAGCAAAACAAAATGAGATATGCCTGTATATCTAAGCTGCACTTCAGAGATAAAATGTGAAAAAATATCAATATTGACAAGAAACATATTAATTTAGTTATCTTTCAACTCCTGCTCCTTTTCAAATTCCAAACTTATCTAACCTCTGAGGGCATAGAATCAAATTTTGACATAAAAAACAAAAATAATAAGAAAAAAGGAAGAGGGCTGAAAACCCGTTCGGGCACCTGGGTGGCTCAGTCGGTTAAGCGACTGCCTTCAGCTCAGGTCATGATCCTGGAGTCCCAGGATCGAGTCCCGCATCGGGCTCCCTGCTCAACATGTGTCTCTCTCTCTCTCAATCTCTCTCCCTCAAATAAATAAAATCTTTAAAAAAAGAAAACCTGTTCAATCACTTAATAGTCATGCCAACACCAGCAAATTTTTAACCCCTTACCATCTTTATCTGCAAAAATAAAGTTATCCTAACAATACCTTACTAAAAAGGTTTTTGTAAAGATCAATAGGAAACAGATGAAACTGTTTGGAAAATTGTAAAGCCTTAAAAAAAAATATACGAGGTATTTTCCATTTTCAGAGCAAGGACTCAAAACAAATTTATAAATTTTCTTTTGCACCCAATAAGCATGTAATATCCAATATGCAAGCTGGTCAAAGTATAGAGGAAAAGAGTCTGGTCCAGCAAATACACATTTTAGAATCTCTACGAGATACTCTGGGAGTGCCTGTGGTGGCGCAGTCAGTAAACGTCCCAACTCTTGGTTCCAGCTCAGTTCGTGATGTCAGGGTCATGAAATCGAGCCCAGTTCCACACTCAGCACGGAGTCTGCTTAGGACTCTCTCTCCCCCTGCCCCTGCATGCACACGCAGGCTCTCACTCGCTAATAAAAAAAAACTTAAAAAAAAATATTATTCTAACAAGTCCACATAAATATATTTATAGTTCTGTATAACACAGGACTGTTTGTAAGAGCAAATGAAGCAACCAACAAAAAATTAATCAGTAGGGATTAAAGTATGCTACATCTCTAAAATAAAAACTGTGTGAATGTGGATACTAAAATTAATGTGATACATGTAGTACCCTTAAAGAGGATCCCAGATTACCAAGTAAAAAAGCTAACAGACAGTAGGTAAAAAATGTTTGCATATACAGATAACAATTGTAAACATGGTTTTTACTAAAGCTTTCCATGTTTACTTCATAAACTCAATTTAAAAGCCTATACCATTTCCACTGAAGTTTCCCCAATTTTTAAAAGCACAACACCACAAAAATATTATTACGGGAATAGTCTGCAACACATTTTTTTTTTAAGATTTTATTTATTCATTTGAGACACCGAGATAGAGAGAGAGAGAGCACATGAGCAGAGGGAGAGGCAGAGGGAGAGGGCGAGGGAGAAACCTTCCCGCTGAGCAGGGAGCCCGATGCGGGGCTCGATCCCAGGACCCTAGGATTACGACCTGAGCTGAAGGCAGACGCTTAACAACTGAGCCACCCAGGCGCCCCCTACTTGTATATTCTACTTAAAATTATAATTTTAGGGACATTTGACTCTTGATTTCAGCTCAGGTCATGATCTCAGGGTTGTGGGATAGTCCTACCATGGGCTGGACACTCAGCACCTCCCCCTGCTAGCGCCATGTGCACGCGCCTCCCCCTGCTAGTGCCATGTGCACGCGCACGATCTCTCAAATAAATAAATCTTTAAAAATCTTAAAAATAAAATTAAAATTTTAACAGAAATCATTCACTGGTTCTTATGTACCAAGCACTATATGCAACAACCCTACAAGGTGCATGATGCATAAGAGGTTCTAAAGTATTAAGTACCTACGTGCTAAAAAAAACTTTAGATGCAGGATAAAAAACGATGTTTTACCTGTGTAGCATGTCTGGGGCCTGGTTCAGCAGTGTGTAATACTGTCTCACAAATTCCCGCCCGACCAGCAGGGGACTAGGCTTCTCCATAACCATTGCTTTGGTCAATTCAACCTGGGGGAAAAAAAGTCAAATATGTTCAACCTGAAATATCAAGTACAAGGAGGAAAAGCAGCAGGGGAGAAAACTGAATCATTCAACTAAAACCAACTCAAAGTAAGACAAGGCACGTCAACAGTTCTTGGTTTTAAAAAATAAAGACCATAAGAACAAATAAACCCCACACAGATCAGGTGAGATTTTTAGTCAAATTTATTGCAAGGAGATGAATTGGGGGGGAGGGGACTGCCGATAAAGAATTCATTATTCCCAACAGTCAATTTCTTTAAAATGAATATAAGAACGTCAAAGGTACATATTTCCAGCATGCACCCTATCATAACTTCTCTATTTTTAAACTCAAGAGTGTTCCAGTTCTAAGATTCCCAAACACATTCTTATTTGTGGCAATATTAGGTTCAAGGGTGATAAGCTTTGACATACAGGCACATATGATCACATTTTTAGTCAAACTAAATCAGGAAAATTTTTTGTATCTTTAACAGAGAACCACAAAACCTAAAAATTTTAAGCTTACTTTATGATGAAACCAAAAATAATCTGAAAATGGGTGAACTAAACACAATGTTTTTACTCAACAAAATGATCTCAGCACCTCAAAATCATGATGATTTATTTTTTTTAAGAGCTTATTTATTTATTTGACAGAGAGAGACACAGCAAGAGAGGGAACACGAGCAGGGGGAGTGGGAGAGTCTTGGAGAAGCAGGCTTCCCGCCGAGCAGGGATCCCGATGTGGGGCTCGATCCCAGGACCCTGGATCATGACCTGAGCTGAAGGTAGACACTTAACGACTCAGCCACCCAGGTGCCCCCAAATCATGATGATTTAAAGTTAGAATCTTTAGTATCTTTGTGTATTAAGAAAGGCAGCTGGCACAAAGTAAGTCCTCAATTACTGTCAGTTATTATCAAAATAAAACTTTTTGGAAAAAATATGTGCCATGAGATAATCCAACTTTTCATTTGAGGAGATAAAATCATCCTGAAGTTAAACATACAGGCAAACGGAGAGACATGAACAGATCAATTACAGTATAAAAGGCAAGAAATTTTATTTCAGTTTCCTCAAAGGATGGGCAAAACAGACTGGTCAATTCTGAACAATTTGTGGAGATTTATTTATCCTTATCTAGTGCATCTGCATTATTCTTCACCAAAACCTAAGAAATTAGTTCAAGGCCGGTCTGTATTTTCTCCAGATTGCAGGCACTAGATCAATAATACCTTCCCAGTCATACTGGAGAGTAGTTTACCTGCAGGTACGGTTAAGAGAGCATCAATAACAAGAATCTGGATCTTAAGTCTTAAACTAATGTACTTAGACTAATGCAGAATGAGAAATTGTTCTCTTTCTTCCGTGGCTCATACTCCAAAAAAAAAACGAATTTCAGATGTTCTTAATGATCCTAAATTTTCCAGAACTTCAAAGTTACAATTGGACACCAGAAAATATTAACAGTCATCTAGCCTGCGATTTTCAAGTTTTTAATATATCCCATTACTTCATTTAAACCAGAACTGCACTTTTTTATATATTAGTTTCCGTATAAATTTTCCTTTCTTAAAAGGACTTAGCTACTCTCTTCAAAAATCACTAACATCTGGGTGGCTCTGTCGTTAAGCGTCTGCCTTTGGCTCAGGTCATGATCCTGAGGTCCTGGGATCGAGCCCCGCATCGGACTCCCTGCTCCGCGGGAAGCCTGCTTCTCCCTCTCCCACTCCCCCTGCTTGTGTTCCCTCTCTCACTGTGTCTCTCTGTCAAATAAATATATTTTTTTAAAAAATAAAAAAAAAAATGCTAAACATTGCACAATTAAAAAAAAGCAATCTTTTAAAGGGAACCTACACAACAGGATAGATAAATCAAAGAAAACAATACACATTAAGTAAACCCCTATTTTTCTATTCTAGTTGCACTTGCTTCTCTTGAGTACTACCTGTTCTTATTTCCCAGTCAATATTACAAATGTCATTATGAGGCCAGTATTATCAACCTAACTGCATTCTCTGATACTGCCAAGTAGTCTCATTATAAGATAAATTACTAAAAATCATTTTACCAAATACTACTTCCTCATCCAATATTCCTATGCAATATAATAAAAATCCTCTAGATTATATATCAAAGGTAAGAAAAATTTTAATCTGTAGACCTCTAGAACTTTTTTCCCTTTCTTCGAGATTACCTATATAATTCAAATTAAAAGAATAAAGAAAGATCATTATTGGTTTGATTATACCATTATAAATATTTTATTTCAGTTCCCCTAAAGCCAAGAAAAAAGTAAACCTAAACATTTATATGCTAAATTGATCTTCATCTCATTTGTGGATTTTTCTTTTTTTAAAGGTTTTATTTATTTGACAGAGAGAGACATAACAAGAGAGGGAACACAAGCAGGGGGAGTGGGAAAAGGAGAGGCAGGCTTCCCGCTGAGCAGGGACCCTGATGCGGGGCTCGATCCCAGGACCCCAGGATCACGACCTGAGCTGAAGGCAGACGCTGAACAACTGAGCCACCCAGGAGCCCCTCATTTGTGGACTTTTCTTAACAGTTATTAATTCTGAAACCAATACTAAAATCCGTATCATTTATCAAGTTTCCAATATTTTATTATCTTAATGGTTTAACAGAATTCAATATTTTAGGTTCTCAATTAGCATTTTTTATTTTTTTCCAAATAGATGGTACTTTATTTGGGGTTGAAATTTTCAACTTGAGAAACATGCAATAGCTATGGTGAAACCAAATTTTCAATAGTCTGCTACTCAAGTTATAAGTTTTAATGTCAGTCATCAGCGCTGCCTCAAATACCCTTGCAGCCTCCTAAGGCTTACACTTATACTACAAGCACTTTATGATTCCATTAAAGTAGAAGCTCTGGCTCTTAAAGTCTCTCCTTTTAGCTCTTCTATAATATGGACCAATGAATTCGAAGGCAAATGGTAGCACTATTTAAAAAGAATATTCCTGTCAAAAAAATAATAAAATAATCCTGTCAATTACATATCAATAAAACTGAAAAAGAGTAACATTCCATGTGACTAAATATGTACAGCATTTTATTAAAAAGAAACTACAGGGGCACCTGGGTGGCTCAGTCGTTAAGCATCTGCCTTCAGCTCAAATCATAATCCCGGGGTCCTGCGATCGAGCCCCACATCAGTCTCCCTTTTCAGCGGGAAGCCTGCTTCTCCCCTCTCCCACTCTGCCCTATTTGTATTCCCTCTCTCGCTGTCTCTCTCTCTCTCTTATAAATAATAAAATAAAAAAATCTTTAAAAATAAGAAAAATTAAAAAAACTATTGTTTCACTGCTAAAAAAAAAA